CCACGGTAATTTGAGATGTGCTACTCTTCGTTGGGAGCGACGATATCTACTGGGCCGGAGTAACTTTATTTCGAAAAAAGCGTATAGCAAATTCGTATTCAACGTTCGATTCTAAGCAACAATGGCAAACAAACTATATACCAAAAATTATATTTGACATTTTTTTTTTAGGAAAAATCAGTGTATTATAATTTTTTTTTAACGAAATTAATGTTTCATTTCTGAAACCGTTTCATTTGGCATCCATATGGCGAAAAATATTTCTCTGACCTAGTTCCCTTAATTCAAATTAAATTTAATTTTTTACACTCCCATGGTTCAGTTAAGAAACAAATCTTTTCAAAACCATTTCGATTGACACCCATTTTGTAATAATTGATTTATTTTTTTAATTAATTTGAATATAATTTTTTTAAAGTTGGCAACTCTTTTCAAAAAACTAAAACTTTGTTGCACATCTACAGTCCAAGCCTTTTAATTTGACACTTCATTTTGGAAGATCGAACGTGCCGACATGATGGCATCGATTACAAAATAACTTGAGTATAATTGCTCAAAAGGTGGCAACTCTTTTCGAAAAAATAGAACCAGCTTCCACATTTACAGAGCAAGCGCAGCGCTTTAATTTCGTTTTTGACAATCAAACGAACGGTGCAGATCTTATGTCCTGTACAAAAAATCCCTTCGCGTATTATATATGTAGATATATGTATGTACATATGTAGATGTTCATTTTTTTGTTAATACACAAGAGATAAAAACATTTCTATGTATTTTGTCTTTTACGTACACTTAAAAAGGTAAGCTTATTCTTATGAAAAAATCGATTCACCTAATTTTAAAGTAAATCATCGGCTTCGGCTGAATGTTAGATAAAAACCGAACGTTCGGTTCGGCTGCGGTCGGACTCTACATGAAACACATTTCTCTTTATCCTTCTCTCTGAAGTAAACAAAAAATATTGACTTCTCTATTTCTTTAAAAACTTTGGCTGAATGTGTTAAGTATTCATTAACATTGATTTTAAGGGTTGTCTTAAGAAAAGTCGGCTATGTCGCGTCTTCTACTAAATTTTGTTTTATTCAGTTCACATCTCTAAAATTTAGTTAATAGATATAGCCTCTGATTAGTGTTGGGAAGTATCGAGTTCCCTTGAGGATCTAGTTCGTTGGTGTTGATACTTTTAAGGATCGGGTATTTTGGAGAGTACTTTCTTTAAACATACAAACATACAAGCTGACAACACTTTATTCAAATTTATATATTAATCTCAAATTACGTCGATTGGATGGCTAAGTCTACTGGGTACAAGTGTTGAGTGTACTTGAGAATTACTGAGATTTGAAATTGAGTGCAATCATTTCCGGTAAATACCGGCAAATGTAAATAGAACTCAGTACTTTTAAGTATCTATTAAACACTTAATAGTGAGTATTGAATCGATCCTGGGTATACGTATCAAAGTGATGGTTGCAACAGAGTATTTTTAAGTACTGAATACTTTCAAGTCCTTTCCAGCTCTTTTGAGAGTACTGAGTACTTTGAAGTACTCAGTATCGGTACTTTTAATAATCGGGTAAAGCCGATCCTTTTGAGAATCGAGTTCTGAGTACTTTTGGAATCGATACTGCACAGCATTATTTCTGATATATTTTCTGTAGTATTTTCATTACTGTTGCTAGCGACTAAGTGCCGTTTGCACCATGTCTAGTTAATTCTAACTCCCAGTTAAACATCTTTATCGACGTTATCGACACCCATCATATAACATGTGATCGATAAAGCAGTGGATGTGCTTAACTGAAGGATGTACCTCCAGTTAGCGTTAACTAGACATGGTGCAAACGGCCCTAAGAGAAAGTTTTCAAATGCAAGAATTTTTTGATGCAATTGTTGCGGTTCACAAACTATTTAATATGTATGTATGTACTTACTTTTCATTTATTTATTTATTCTGTTTATTTATTTTTAATCAACTTTTACACCATTTATTATTTATGCTACCTTTACGAGTACTTTCCGTTACTTACTGCATTTATTTGTGGTAAAAGTCGCATTTTTTATTATCTCCTTGTCTTTCGCCGGCATTACCAATAAACACGTTATACTCATACACACATATAAACATTCAATGTATGTACATATTTACACTTTAGCACGCTCATCAATGGCTTATTGAACTACTACTACAACCATTATTCGTAAGTTTGTTTGTTTATTTACGTTTTAAGGTCGCCTGCAAAGGACAAGGACATCGATTAAACGTAAGCATATGGAATCATAGTTACCTAAACGTTTGTCTTTCCATTTGTTTATTTAACTGATGAAGGAGCTCTTGTGGAAATGAGCGGGTGTTGTCATGCATAAACATTAGCCACTTTAAATGTAACGTTTCGCCAGCGAAATGTTAATTGAGTATTGGCGAAAGCCGGTTCTTCATTTGCTTTGTTTCTATTCATTTTTTTTTGAAGAACACAGTAAACTAATTTCTACCTTTGCATATAGGTTCCAGAACAAAAATTCTTGACGTTTATATGAAAATTATGCAGTTGTAGACATAAAGTTGTTAATTAGCATAACTACAACAAGACGAACTTATGCTAAATAAGTTCTGATTTCTTAGATTGTCTGAATTCTTTACGTGGGCGAAGAATACTAGGGGAAGGATTATACAAGGTGTCATAACGACTGCTATTGTCATAATGTCATTCATTTTATAATAACGAAAAGTATTTTTGAGTAACCCACAGCAACCACAAATTCATTTTGCCCATTTTAATGTGTAGGACATTATGTCAATACGAATTTCTAGAGTATCCCTCTTGGGAATGGCTTTATGACTCCACTATTTATTAAACTAAATTAGTCTTAGAAAGTGATTCAGATGCAACATTTTTAAAAACAGGAGAAACCAGACGGATCTTAATTGTCTAAATTGAAATAGAGAGGCGATCATCAGTGGTAAGGCAATTTCATTATGTATAGGTCAGCAATCTGAATTTGGACAAAAGTTCCATTAAACCGGGTTCGACCAGGATAAGTAGATGCAATGGCCATTTTCTTTATTTGGAGCTACACATTTCACTAAGTGTATGGCCGGGCTATGATGTGTTTCTTGATTTTATCACATAAATGAAGGGACCTGCAATTGTATGCCGCTTGCAAAAGAAATTGGTTTTTATTGGAAGAATTACACTAGAAGGTTTGCCATTGACTACCGATGGCCACCGCCATTAAAAAAACAAAGTTGTTTGTGGATTCCACGCGCTACATAGCGTGGCGTAAAAACGGCAAAATTGAATTTAACATTTGAAATTCGCTCAGCGATTTCTGAGTGAAGAGAAATCTCACTTGGTTCGGTTAGTCTAGTTTTAAATCACCCTGCATCGATAAAAAAATCTAAATTCAAAAAAGAAAACGTTATTTTACACCTACAAACCAAGCTTATTAATTTGGCATCTAATTTTTGAAATTCGAAGAATACATAGTTAAATAGATATGACGTTTCGAATGGGTGGCAACCCTTCTCAAAAGTATTTTCTAACTAAAGTTTTTACCCATCTTGTAAAATTTAGTTAATTTTACTTAGTAAATACTTTGAATTCATCTTTTAAGCCGATGGTGTTTCTCTTCAAATACCTGGATACTATTTTAATTACATACATATTTCTTAGATTTCTGACCACTCTTTCGTTTGCCACCCATCCTTTAATATTTCATATAAATAACTTGTGCATAATTTAATTTAATTCGACTTTTCAAACTAATATCTTCTTAAACCTATTTCGTTTTTGCACCCTTATTTAATTACCTAATTGGCGCAACTCCAGTTGAATTTGATTTTGTAGATATGAGGCAACCCTGCTAAATAAAGACTCTCAAAAATAGTTTGAATTTAGCTCTTTAACAAATGGCAACCCTTTTCAAAAATCTCAAAAATATTGTAAATATTCAAATAAAAGATTTCTTAACACTCTTTCGTTTGATATCAATATTTTAATATGCCATATAACTTTTGTGTATAACTTAATAAGATTCGACTCTTCAAACAGGTGGCAACCCCCTGCAAAACATTTTCAAACCTAAACTTTTTTAAATCCGACACCCAAGTTTAATACATAACTCAATTACCTAACTGCCTTAACTTACATTTAATTTTTTTTTAGACCAGTGGCAACCCTCTCACATGTAGTTCAGAAATAAAGCCATTCAAAAAAGTTTCGGTTGATATCCATACATATTGTAATAATTTATTTAATAACTAAATTAAAGAATTTGAATTTATTTTTTAACAAGTGGCAACTCTATTTGATAAAATAAAACGTTATTGCTCATTTACTGGCCAAGCCCTATATCTTGAGGGTTTAAGGCCGTTGCCTTCATTTCAAACTATGATACATATAATTCCAAGAATCATAGAATACAACTTTGCGCCCATCATAGAGGATTTGTGAGAAAAATTTTTGTGTGACGTCACACTAATGCATTTGTGAGAGAGCAGTGCCAAATCTCGAGCAAGAATGGAAGAAGAAATTTGGCAAGAAAAACTTAAACGAGTTGCACAAGTGTGACGTCATACAAACAGGGATTCTGCATAAGTTACTGAGAGCCAAATAACGGTACCGAGATGGGCGGCGCCACCTTTGTTTTCTACATCGTGATATAATTGTATATCTATGAACCATTCTGTATCCTCATTTCTATTTTGACTAAAGCGTAAACTACACTGGATTCAGATAGAGGTGTATTTAGCATTTATCCTTACTAACAATGGGTCATAAGTAAACAACAGTCCGTGAAACCTTTAATTTTTCGCAATAAAATGTTATTTACCACACCATAATAAATAACTATAAGATTCTTTCATGCATACATATGTATGTGCCTCCATATCTACCAAATATCCCAAAACCGCAAATTCTCGCGTAAATCATCCTTCAGCATCGTAAAAAAATAAATATACTATCTGTAACCTAAAGCCAGCCTCATATCAAAGAAGCAATATTTGTGGCATTTTACCTTGCCTTTACGAAGCAAATGGCCATAAAAAGGATGCCACGAAACGAATAAAAAAATAAGTACAAAACTACTATAAAATGTGTCCTTGAAGCGAGAATTTATTCAATTTCCAACAGAATATCAGGTGGCTTCCAAATTTAATGCTACTTTTCCTGCTTGTTGTTGTAAACTTTGTGAGAAGAGGCCTACAAAATTATTTTGTTACAATGCGGCGACTTTTATTGTATGTACATATGAATGTGTACATTAGTACTTTAGTTACTACTAAGTAAATACACATACATACTTAATACTTATGCATGGGCGCATGCTGATTTAGGTACACTAAGAATTTTACAATGCGTGCACGTTTGTATTTGCATTTATGTTTTTATACTTTCAATACGAGTATATATACCACTTATGTATGTATATATTTATATATAAGTATATGATTGAATTTCTGCTATATTCCGCTTAGTTGCTACCGCACACAATAAATTTCAGCGCAAATATTTCATTATACGAAAATTATATACATATGTATTATTTAAATATATCAGTAAGCGCTTTTATGTGCCTATGCATACAAAGAGGTGGTTTTATAGGTACTATCTTCCGTTGTACAACTATACATGTGGTTTGATTTATGTATATGCGATATTAATGAGACCGCAATATTTGCATTGCTGTCAACTGAAGGAAATCAGAGAATGGCATGGAGGCACATGTAAATACTTAAGTCCGTAAATACTTATAACAAATGGAATGATGGTTGAAATGCTACATAGGCTAAATTCATATTTGGTAATCTTTAAGTGGTTGTGGAAGATGGCACAACATCGAAACCGGTTTGTCTTCTAACGAGATTTGGCAAGGTATGACGGAAGTCCGTTTCAAAATACATCATTTACCCATACTGCTGGAAGCAACAACAATAAAATTCATTAATTTTTATCGGAATATATTCGACTTCGTTTCTGAGAAATAATTAAATCATTTTGAAACTGCACCAGGTTTAGTCCAAAATCTTAACTTTCATTTAATGTATGTACATATACATAGCTTCCATCAGAGGAAACTCTTGAAATTGAGCTATTGCGCTTCAAAATGAAAAGGTATCGCTCCAATTCAAAATGAACACATTCGACTAATTTGGTTACTTTGATTCTTATTCATTCAGCTGGAGTATCAATAACACTGGATAAACGCTAAAATAACACATATAAACGCCGAGACACGTAAACCGAATTTGGGGATCTGTATATCGTTTTTTGGGTATTTTTCCCAAAATATTTTCATTTTAAATTGGCATTGCGAATGAAAAAGATTCAAACTTTAACCTGAAAAATGTTACTCATACGCCATGTACGCGTATGTACCATTACGCCCATGTACGATGTGGCGTATGAGTAACATAATTTCCTGCTTCTATTTCATACAAAAAATTATTGCACATTTTCATTTGACTATTCAAAAGTGGTTTATTCATCCATCGATTTTGGTCGTTAGTAGCTTTATTTTTTGTGCCAAAAAGACAGGCTTTACTACAAATGAAAAAAATATAAAACATTTGTTATTTTTTAATTTTTTCCTTTTTAAAATATGAACTTTTGTTTTAACAAAAATGAAAATATTTTGGGAAAAGTACCTGATCTGGCAAACGGTATGCAGATCCATAATCTCCGGCACACGCCGCTTCCAAAGATCATAAATAAGGGATCATAGATGGCCTTCCCGCCGGCAATCCTTTATAAGACTGATTTATACTCAAAAGCCTTTGTGATAACACAAGGGTTGTCAATTACCACCGTTCCCTCGCTTGGTACTCCGTAAAAATTAGGGGAGAGATTCCTAGCCTCTACTTATCTCTGATCTCTAGGTAATTAAGGACAGATTAGATTAGTTTAGATGGCTTAGATTAAGACGACTCTTTATGGAATTCCACGAGATGATTCCATTCCACATGTTTCATTTGGGATACTTTAGAATTATTCAGTTATTTTATAAATGCCTGGCTGTTAGTGAATATGCAGACGTCATCTTTTAGGTAATCATTAATTCCGCTTGAAGTGTATTTCAGTATATAGGCAAACGGAAATTAAAACTTACACGTAAATAGCTCTTCATAACGCCTACTCCCACCCACCTTATTGATTACTGACCGAATCCGTACTCCATTCTTTTTGTTTTTTTGAATTGGAGGAGTGGGTTGGAAGCGGGCAATGGGTAGAATAACATTCTCTGAGTTCGGCTATCGTTTCCCTGTGACCGATGTGAGCGTGTGCCCATTTCTTATTGGCGTTAAGTATGATGTTTCATGCAACTTTCCTTGCATAAACGTATGATGCAGAATAGTCAAAAGGCTAGTAAATTTTGTTTTTAGTTAGCACTGCCCACCGCAGCTTTCCATATCTTTAAGTAAGCTGTCAACAGGCATGCTCCCAAAGTAAAGGGGAGGTTTTCCTCTTAATGAAAGTTTCTTACTGGGGAACTCAACTAGCTTAGCGTAGTATAAACTTACTTTTTATAATGCCTTTTCAAGTTCGCAATGTTCAAAAAATATAAAATACTCAAAAAATTGTGAGCTGTTGCTTTTCAAACAATTTAAAATTTACATATTGGTGCTACTCTGCAATAATGACACAATTCAAAAGTAAAAAAACCCCTTACTACTATTAAGTGGCTCATGTCTTTAATCCCTGTCTAATCCGTTACTATTTCTTGCTAAATTAAGTAGTAAGTGTTACTAAAGTAAGTATAAAGGATTCGCCATGTATTAGGCAAGTATTAGAGACCTGAGGACCGTAACTGGATTAAGGGTTTTATTTTCTTTGCGTTTTGAGTTGTGTCGTCATTGCTGATAATTACATACATAAATGTACATTTTAAACTGTCGTGAAAAAATGTTGCTGGCATCGTGTTGCCAACATGTGTCCAGCTTTTCCAGCTCATCTTGAAAATGTTGAAGAGTTTCCGACATATTTTACGGTAAGAAATTTTATATGAATTCTTCCAGCTTTTTTCAAAAATGTTACTCATACGTTCTCCTTGTAATAGTAGTAGTTTATTTCCACCAAGCCTTAACTTCAGTTTATGCCTATTGTGAAATGGAGACTACCACTCGAACGGAGTATTTGCCGATCACCAGTGCTGCCGCTTTCACTTCAATTAAAGTTTTTCACTTCACTTTGGAAGCGTTCGACACTTTATTTTACTTCGTTTTACTTTATTTTACACAAATTCGATTTTCCTCCAAAATAAATAACAATTTCTTTGAAATATGTGATAAAGGTACCTACTAACGATCATGAAATTTTATGAAAGCCTTGTGCAAACATTTTTGAATACCGTACCGTTTAATAAAACCGTTTTAATAATAAATGGGACTCTTTTTTAGGATCTGAAAACCCCCGGTCATTAACGACAAAGTAGTGGTACATTTGTACCACCAAATATCTTCATACATAACAATACAATTACAATCGCGAATGTTTCAATAGGAGCACGCAAAATTAAGAGCAAACCGTATATATTTACACGCAAATGAAGCAGACTAAACGGCGAAACCGATTTCTGTTTGACAAACTGTTTAACTCGACATGAGTGCTTCAAGGCATACCTTCATCGATTCAAACACGAATCGGAATACATATGCGACTACCTCGGAGGAGATGTAATAGAAGACGTATTTTTTGAGTGTATGCGGTTTGACAGTACCAGATGCAAGCTTCGCAACATATCTGGCGAGATTTCCACGCCTGAGTCACTCGTGAAGGCTATGCTACAAAGCAGCAAAAATGGTCGGCAGCATGTGACGCAATAGCAGAGACGATGAAGGGGCTCAGGACCCCCGAATGACTACGGCATAGCAGCGGCGACTAACTATTTTTCTCCCTCACGATGTGCGGAGTTTCCTGGTAGGACACTTGAGAGCCCCTGAAAAAACTGTTAAAGTATAAACAGAACGAGTTCGCTGAGTAAATTTCGTCGGACGGAGTGATGCCGACGGATGATATTCGCATAAAATTTCGTCAACTAAAACTGAACCGGAACAACATTTTTGTGCACAAATATTGTGGAGGATTTTCCTTTAAAAAAATGCTAGTTATAAAATAAGAAACGACTACAAAAAAGCCACGAAGCTAAATCCTGAATTTCTAAGCTCAATGACAAAGACGAAAGCTAGATCTTGCCTCAACACGGCTAAAACTTTCAACACTGCGGGACAGTACCGATTTGTTAAGTTTTTTTTTTGCTTTTTTTAATGAAACTATTCCAACTTGAATTTAGTGAAATTATAAAAAGTAATATTAATTCCCTCAAACAATATATGTACATAGGGAAAAGACATTTAAGCATGCTTTAGCTAATCCCCTTTTGATTATTTAATTTGTTTTATTTTTTATTAAAGCATAGCTCTAAAGTATAACTAAAACCATGTAACACAAACTTTGCACAAAAATTCACAAAATTCTACAAATTTTCATCAAAACGTTTATCTTCTATATTAAATTTTTTAGAAATATTCTGTGTAGGCAGTTTTGTAGCCCATTCTATTTTAGTACGAAGTGCAAATTTTAAGTAGCTAGGACAACCGCTGATTTTTGGTAAATTTTTTATGGAAGGTTTTGCTCATTTTCTTCATACAAAATATTGCCGAACTTATTTTGTATGGAAGAAAATGCCCGAAAAAAATTGCAAAAAATCAACGATAAGTTCAAGCAACTTCTCAATTGCACTTTATTATATAAAATTGAATGTGCTACAAAAAGTGCATGATCAAAAAATTTCTTAAAATCTGATTAAAAAGCTCAAAATTTTCTATCAACATTTTGATGGCTGAGTGGAAGATCGACCTATATCGGCAGCCAGTTCGAAAACGCTCTATCCCAAAAAACTTTTCAAGAACGCCCTATTTCAGAATTTAATTGCAAAACACCCTATCTCAAAATTCGGTTCAAAAACGCCCTATCAGAATTCAAAATGTATTGAAAATATGCTGATATAGGGCGTTTTTGAATCGGCAGTTGAGATAGGGCGTTTTTGAAACGAATTCTGAAAGAGGGCATTTTTAAAAAGTTTTTTGAGATAAAGCGTTTTCGAACTGGCTACCGAGATATTAAAATTCGATTTATTAAAATTCGTCGAATTTTTTTGTATGAAATTTTGATTTACATGTTTTTTTAGATATGTGGTAAGCTTTATTTTCATAAAAAATAATAAACATAGTTTAAACCAAGAAAAGTAGCCAAAAATTGCTAAAAATGTCCTTTCCTCTTCTCAAAATCGCCACCGTATAAATTGTGTGTATACATTTTTGCGTTCGTTTTTCAAGTTTTTTTCTCTTTGTTTTGTCTTAAATAACACTGTTTTAAAAGATTTGTGTCTTTTTATTCTAAAAACAAAATTGTATGTTCGAATTCGATGCTATAGAAATGTCCCGATTTTTGTCCACAAAAATCTGGTCACCGTAGCTATAAGTGAATTCCAATGCACGCTAATATCACTCATACGCACTGTTGAGCTAAAATTTGGACGGAAAACTATGAATAGGGAGCCCTACATATCCAACATATCCCCGTCATAATGAATCCTCCACTTGAAAGCTCTTCGGCGGTAGGCGGAGCTTGTGAACTCCTTACCAGTAAAAGTCACCTAACATCCCAAGTATATCTACGTGGACAGTCTATAAAACGGACTAATTATTCTATTTAGTTTCATACCAAACGTTTTCAGAAACGTGATCACTTCTTACTTTCAATCTGTATCTAAAGTATATACATAAATACATAAGTATATTTAGGTATACAAAAATTAAATGTATTTCGTATGACGGTTATGCCGCGCCAAACGGCTCAACCAATTTCTATTCTGTAACAAGTAAGAAAGTCTAAATTCGGGCGGAGCCGAACATTAAATACCCGGCGCAAGTATTAAATATACGTTTTTCACCTTTCCGAAAGCTACCGCTACATGGTAAGCCGGGGTGTATCAATTTTGAGTAAATTAGCGTCCTTAAATTTCGAAATATTGAAGTTTCAAGCATTTCTGAAATTTACCGTTATATGAAAAGCGGCCGTAATTTTAGTCCCATTTCAATAATTTTCAACGTTTTCCTTCTGTGTGGCAAGTACAATAACCACACCGAGTTTAGTACAAATTGGTAGAACGGTTACCGATATACATATATGTGATCATAA